CTTTTACTCTTTTTAAAAGAGAATCACAAACTGGCAATTTCAGACTGGCTATATTACACTAAATACAGAGCTGAACTTTTACTTGATGAACTAGAAACGTCGCAATGATTAATACTGTACGGTCGTTGCCTTAGTATTTCAATTCATTAATATAATGTCCATAACTAATAATATTCTAGGGCCGTTGCATTAATATTTCTATAGTCACGGAAAGTTTCATTTTCCATAATTTTGTGTAGGGTTTTTATTTTAATAATTAAATTATTCCGGTAAATTCACACCATAAATAACACATACATGTTTGTGGAATTACTCCCAATAATTCATAATACTGTAGTGTCTTAACTTCAATATTTAAGCTTGTTAAGCTAATTCATAACACCAACCCTATTGATATTCTTGACAGCACTTTTGCACAACTGCTGTTGCTTTAAATGTGCTATATAGACAGTGACATTACTTAGACTGAATTTACTACATCTGACTTTTGAACTGTTGGCCAACTGTCTTTGCCAATTTTTATGTGGCAATATATGTACAAGGTAAATAAGTATGAAATTGGGGAAGTAGTTTGCACAGACTCAGGAAAGTTTGTTGTCGCTCTAATGAATACTAAGTGTTATTGACTTGCACAACTGCTTTTTTTTTTTCTTTAAATGTTTTATCCTTGTTTATTTTTGTTCTGCCTGTCAGTGTGTACTGTTATGCATCAAAACACAGAGTTAAAGTTTCTTGAATGTGAGATGAATAGCTTACTAAATAAAGACAAACTGTTCTGAACTCAGTTTTTAAGTAAATGTGTCTCTACTTCTACTCATTTCATTTTTATTGTTTCTCTTCTATTTTATTGTATACTTTATCTCTTAGGGGCTTAAATTTTTCTCATGTCTTGTCTTGTTTGACTGTTTAAGTTATTCAGGTTTAATTATTCTACACATCTGTGTGCACTTCATCCAACTTGTCTGTACAGCTGTTGAATTACTACATTTATTCATTTAATTCGATTACATGTTGTCTTTTATTTCTTATCATTTGCCTGTAAAGCAGTTTTAATAACCTCTCTGTACGATAAGGTGCCATGTAAATAAACTTGTTTGCTAATAAATTGTGATAATATTTGATTTTAAAACAACCACACGTCGATACTTTTACAGTTCAACAAGAACTTAAACGTCACATGATTTTAGCACAAACACTCTGCTGACAGAAACTGAGATTTTGACTGTAAATTGTGGAAAGGTTACTTTAAAAAAACACAACTAAAATACACTTTGAGCAGTGGGGGTGAAGCAGCTCAGAGGAGGCTGGGAGCAGCAGGGCGATAGCTGTTATTGATAGCTACGCAGCTAATGTTAGCTTAAGTTAGTAGCTAGCTAGTAGCTCTTTGAATTCCAGGTTAGCAGCGACACTGACAGGTTAACTGTGAGCGTCCGCTAACGGTTTAAGTGTGCTACAGCTGACCAGGTCCGTCGTGTTAAGAGTCTCTAGTCGTTGTAAACTAGTTACACGGTGAACACATTAGCACGCAAAACAGCTAGTTTGACATGTTTCAGTGCCACTTTTACCTTTTCGGAGGAAGCTGTCAAACTCCAGCAGCGCGGTGGTGTTTATCTCCGTCTCTGAGAAAGACACTGTGGGGATCCGGATAGCCTCTGGATGAATGAACACACACATTTACTGATGGTCTGGATGCAATTCTTTAAACTAGCAACGTGCCTCCTATCCATACAGGGTCAGCTAGTTAGGTTAACTGTTTCGCTAAACTTACCTTTAAAGTTAGCCAGAAGCTGCTCTCTCTGATGGTGCTCTATGACGAGCGAGATGTTGTTCGTCTTCTCCCAGTTTGCGAGTTGAAGTCCAACATTTACGTCCAGTGACAGAGTCCTGATAGATGCTACGGTAAATAGCAACAGCACCGTAACGAGAAAGGCACTGAGAATAATCTTGAAAAACTTAAAAATTTTGAATTTTGAACCCGAATCTGTCATCGTAAAACGTATTCGTGTGACAGCGGAACACGTTGACCCAGAGCTGTGCAGACGGAGTTACTTGTCCCGGTTCAACAGGAGCCACCTGCCGGCCTGTAGGGAACCATGACATCCAGTTGATGGTTAATGTGTGCAGCAGGTTTTATTGTCCTGCCTCCCACTTCGTTATCAGTGCCTCCATGGTTGGTAGAAAGCTCCTATAAAACGTGTAGCCTTCCTCATGACATGCAGTTAAAGTGGATTTTATAATACCAGAGATCCTTTGTGATTTTTACATCGGCATGTATTCTTTTAATGATTTTATTGCCATTGTAACCAGCCGGCTACAAAACACTTTTAGGTGCAGACATCAATGGTGCTATATATATATATATATATAAAAATAAAAGTAAGCATAAAAAATGTAAATATAAATGTCAAATATTAAACATTAAAATAAAAAATCTGCACTGAAACCCAAAGCATGAATGATTGTGAATGTGGCTGTACATGTAAGAGTAATAAAATGACAATATAATGTTTTTATATGTTATAATTCTATCTAACATACTGCAGTGTGTCCCAGGACAAGAAAAAAAAACTAAATGAAGTGTCTCAGTATGGCCCATACAAAACAGCTTCAAATTCTTGCATTTATTTTATTTCGTCCAAAATTAAAAAATAGTTAAATTCGTCACACAACAAAAAGCACATCATTAAAAGTTCAATCTACAATTCTTTTCAACAATGCCTGTCTAAACACTTTGTACTAATTCAAATCAAATGTAAAAATCTGGATTCATTTTAAAGATAAAATCAATGACGTATAGCATTCCGTAAAAGATGAATTACTATTTAAAATTCATTTGAAACTGAGTGCACCACGATCATTGCACAGTGAACAATACAGTATTATCAGCAGCCCAACACATTTTTTTCCGCCATTTCATCTAAGTTTACCTGACAGCATTTGCAAAGTGCTCTACACAGTAGATCCACTATTATTTCATCACAGAAACTAAGGTATATGATCGGTGTAATTTGTGTGATAGTGCAAACATTTAAGGAATATAGTACAAAAGTAAAAATCAACCAAAATATACTCAAGTACCAGTTCTAGTTTCGTGATAAAGGTGTCAGCCAAGCCACGGTACCAGTGCTGCTTGAATTAATCTGATTAACAATAACAGGCTTTTGAAACTTTATTCTTTTAGATAATGATTAATCATAACATTTGTCGCCTCAGAGCACTTTAAATAATTTGCCTTTGTCTGGCTGGTTATCGATGCTGTCAGTTTCTTAGAGTCCATGGACAGAGCTGTGAGGCTCCGGGAGTTTCTGAATGTCACAGTTTTGAATCAGATTAAAATAAAATACCACATGTTCCTCGTAATTCTTCTTGGAAATCCTTTCATTGATGCCATGGATTCTGAAAAAAAAAAAAAGTCATAGTGTGCAGGGAACAGAAAACATCTTTTCCTTCATTTGATTTCTTCTTGCTATCTTTGCTGAATAATAACTTTATA